CTCTTCCTTTTCATTATTATTAGGAGTGATAACAGCAAATCAAATTTAGGAAAGATGAGACATACCAGGGCCATGGGACTACACTGATGTTTCTCTGAACTGATGTTGTAGAAAAAGAACTTGACATAAGGTGAAGTAGTTCATCATTTTCTGCCTCCACATACATCCTGCTTTATTCTTTCCTGCAATAAATAGTTACTCTGTACCCACTTTGTGCCAAGTACTGTTCTAAGGTCTGGTCAACAAGATGTACAAATACTTTGCTACAGCTTAGATGCTACTTGGGAGGAGGGCAGACAAGAGACAAGCAAATGTTAAGGTTCTTTCAAATATTGGTCAATATTTTAAGGAGAATAAAACAGGCTGACATGATAAAGAAAGACTGTTGAGGAGGGAGTTATTTAAACAGTGCAGTCCACAAGAAGACAACATGTGATCTGAGGACTGAATGAGCAGATGGAATTATCTATGCGAAAGATCCTTGGCAGGAGCTTTCCAGGAAGAGGGAACAGCAAGTGCAGAGGCCTTGAGGCAGAATGAGTGTTCCAGGATCAGCACAGAGGCCATAATCCTGGAGGCTGAGAGGGAGACTGAGATGATTCCAGGTCAGAATCATCTACCAGGTGAGGTCTGGGCTTTGACATGGAGGTATCTTGGGATTACTCCTGTGGGAAGTTAGAGAAATACGCCTAGCTATCAGAATTAAGGAAGGTTAAGTATTTTAATAAATATTATGTGAACACTTCTCCTGTTAAAAGCAACCACATTATTGCAACTCCTCACCCATGAACATTAGTGCATTTCATGATTCTGTTTGGTTGATAATTTGTGATGACAAGGTTTTATCATCATTGGCAGATTACACTGTGTAATACTTAAGCACTGAAAATCAGCTCACTTTGAATTTCTTTGAGGTCCACATTATACATAATTAATTGGATGCCTCAGATGTTATAAACTAGGTCCTACTAAATGGTGTGAACTTTTATTTGAGAATTTGTATACTTTGCCAAAGGAAGACTACTTATGCCATAATTTCAAAGTAAGTTATATGGTATGTATCATTTTTTCTGGTTTTGACTTTTTTTTCAACTCTTGCATTGACTTGCCTTACAATCCGACTGGACATCTACCAATTAATAGTAATAGTACTATTACCTCCAAGCCGTTTTGTTTTGTCTGAATAACTGAGTCCTCAAAGAAGGAAAGAACCAAGGACAAGCATGTTACTGGCTTGTGTAAAATCTATTCCTGGGGACTATTACTGAAGCGAGGAGACAGTAGCTCCGCTTCAGACCTCATTGGTTAGTGTTCTTTCATATGCCATCTCAGAAAAGGGCAGCCCATGCGACAGGTGGGCCTTCTGTGATAAGGGCTCCTGTCCACTGGAAATGGGAACAGGCTCACAGTTTCATATCACAGGATCCACCAGAGGGCAAATGACTTTATCTACCCAGCCAGAACCACACTGGAAGCAGAATGTGGTCCATGCCCTCTTCCACTCCACTGGGAGACTTGAAGCTTTCCTCCAAGGGTTGCTTGATTTAGCATATACGTGTCTTTTACTTTGGTTATACATTATGCTGTAGCTCTAAAGGCAGAAGGTTCCCAAAGCCATGAAAATTTGATTCTTCACTTGTGTCTGGTTGATCTGGTTAAAAATCAATGATTTCCAAAAATGGGGGCCAGGAGAGTAATGGAAGGGTGGGTACAGTGACACGGAATTCCAAGGGTTGCTTGATTTAGCATATACGTGTCTTTTACTTTGGTTATACATTATGCTGTAGCTCTAAAGGCAGAAGGTTCCCAAAGCCATGAAAATTTGATTCTTCACTTGTGTCTGGTTGATCTGGTTAAAAATCAATGATTTCCAAAAATGGGGGCCAGGAGAGTAATGGAAGGGTGGGTACAGTGACACGGAAATGAGTTGGTGAGGCATTTGTGGGAATAGGTCTGAGGAAAGGGGTTGGGGATGAAGAGAAACAATCTATCTAACAGAAAATGAAATTTCTTCATTATCACAAGAAACTCCAAGTAGCCTTCACTTAGTCATACTGGAATTACAATTTCGGCTCACATCGCTCGTGAAAGAGGATGTAGGGAGTATGACCATGGAAAGTGATATTTTAAGCTGCAGCACATACTCTCATCACTGGCTTGACTTACAGCATATCTTTCAGCAAAAGCACATAGTGATTTAATCTCAACAGTAATTCAGTCTGCAGTTGTATGAGACAAGACTATCATCACAGACAGGCTGTAATTTTTGAAATTCAGGTGCTGGGGATTAGGACCACCTGTTGAATTTAATCTTGGAGTTATAATGTTAAATATCACCATGTAACTGAACATAAACACTACATATTTATCAGACTTTGGGACCTCCAGCCATGCAGATGTGAACATTTTCCTAAATAGTATCTTTAACTCTCTCCAGATTCTGTAAATCAATGACAAATAAAAAGTCTGTTGGCATTCTGATTGAATGTGCAGCAACATATGGCTTGGTGGCCATCACATTCGGCACATCCTATAATTTTTCTAAGGCCTGATGTGAGAGTGGAAAGAAAAAAAGAATCATGGTATCATCTGGCAACATAGTAATAAAAATGCTTTCATTTCCTACCCTCCTCTGTGTTAACTGGAAAAAAAAATTCCTAGCAATATTCTAATAAATGATTTCCACCTCTGCTTAAGCAAGACTATGGGAAGAATCCCAAACAAACCTAATTAAACAGCACCGTTTAAAGAGGACACAGACATTTTACACAGGCACTTTTAGAAAGCCATCAGAAATAGAACTTTGCCCAATTTCCAGCCAGCTAAACAGGAGCAGTAAAATGCTTACATTTTGAGCACAAGTTTACATTTAGTTGGGTAGGACAACTGGGTTGATGCCTAGAAAGAGGACATAGATTTTAAGATTTGCATTTGCTCCTTTGCTTAGAGTGGTGTGAACTCATTTAAGCCCCAGTAGGAGGGAACTTTGTGAGATGTTGGTTGTCTATGAAAGAATTTCACTGGTATTAGTTATCTGCAAAGACCTTCCTGGTCACATTTATAATTCTCTGTTAAGAATTTCAAGGACTTTCACACATATTTATCATTCACATAACACTTCACAGTTAATACAGCCCTTTACTACAGATTATCTCTATTTCTCATATACAGCTTCAACATTTCTTCCAAAATAGGGCTGTTCTTCATTTTAATGAAATAGTGCTCTGATATACTGAAAATGGAATCCAATAGATTTGTGTGAATAAATACTGCTTTATAAACAAACATGAGGACAGCATATTTGTCTTAGCCTATTAATATTTTTAACTGGCGTCTGTTCAGCAGGAGAACACAGGAAGGAAAGTAGTAGGAATAATATTCCCAAAGGTAGATCAAAGCTTTAAGCAAATTTAGCTTTAGACATCCTTATTTATCAAAGCTTCACAAGTGCTAGCTAGCCATGAAAATCCACCAAGTTCAAAATATTCATCAGACACTACTTACACATAAACACCACATCCATCCAGTCAGAAGCCAACATCCAAACTCTTCTAGAACTCCAGGCCTTAAAGGATTGCTTGTTCATACAGATACAAAGTATGTAATCAATCAACAACTTAGAAAACTGAAGCTCTAATTATAAAGCTGATGGCCTTCTCTACTTTTGATTTTAAGAATGTACCACCATCACCCTCTCATTTCACTTCCTCATGAAGTGTCTCTCCCTCTTTCTGCTTCCCTGAATTCTTCCCAGTGCAAGTTCCATCTTTTCAAAGAAACTTTCCTTGATTCTTCCAGAGTAATGATCTTTCTCATCTCTGTACCCCAAAGGTAATGACTACTTATATCTAGCATTTCCTATACATTTACATCTATCAGTCTGTTGTCCATCTACCAATCCATCCATCCATCCACATTTCATGGTGTATTGTGTTTTTCCCACAGGCACTCAAAAATCCCTGAAGACTGGGTCCTGCTTTAAATTCTTTTGCATTCCCCAAAAGCCTTAGCATTATGCATTGCACAAGTGAATGGAAATATTTTGATTGCCACCTAAAAAAAAAGTGACTTTTTCATACAGAGTAAGAGTAATCTTTTCACACATAAGGAGCACCTGCTAAATAATACTTTGGTTCACAACCATAAAACTAGTAATATAAAAAGCAGAATAGATGGGTGGTTTCAAGAAATCCTCTAGCTTTATAGAGCAGATACAGAGTGAAACTGTTTTAATAAAAATACATTAGCAGCTTCAAATAATGTGGAATATATTTAAACTGTATTAAAGCACCTTTTCAGATTAAGGGGATTTGCTTAGGATTCTCCCAGAGGTTTCACACACTGAAACCAGAGATTTATTATTCCAGGGAAAGGAGACTCAATTTTTAAAAATTCATCTTTTTAATATTAGCCAAGCCATGAAGCGGCTTCCCAGAAGGCAGAAAAAAACAGGCCCTCAATGATGGGCTTCAAGCCAATGGAAGCTGAGTTTGTGCCTCAAGCCTTCGTAGCTTGCCTGGGCACCGCTCCCCAGGGCTGCGATAATTCTGCCCAGAACAGTCCGAAGCGGGGATCAGAGGGGAATCTCTGAGCCTGAGCAGCGGCGGCGCACCGCCTGCTGAACACCCGCGCGATCGCGGTCAGAGGAGCGCTCTGGCTGGTACGCGCACCCGGGTCTACTCCCACCAGGGCGCGATGTGGTCGCCCAAGCCCAGGCTTCAAGAACCCAGCACCACCCGCCGCTGCGTTTCTGAGGACCAGAGGGTTCTAGTTCCAGGGCCAGTTCCTGTAAGGCTTGGAAGTCCACTCATCTCATCCCTATTCCTTGACAAACTTTGCTTCCTTCTCCAAATAGGAATTCCTATCAAATAGGAATTATCCCACTCCACCCCAGAGGGCCCACTCCCGCCGCAGGCCTCCGAACGGCACCTACTCACGGCGCCCGCCAGCCCGGGAAAGGGGGCAGGCTCAGCTGTGCGGGCCGGCGAGCGAGCCGTCACCTTGTGGTCCGCCACGCCAAGGTATCCGTCCAGCGGCCGCGGTCCCGCCGGGGCCCCGGGGCGAGAGGGGGAGCTGCTCTCCGCCGACGGCTGCGCGCTGCCGGTCGCCGCTGCCTGCTGCTGCTGCTGCTGCTGCTGCGGGGGACGCTCCTTCTGGCCGCCCAGGCTGCTGTACACGAGCAACAAGCTGGTGCACATGGTGGTGAGCGCTAAACACACTGCCAGACCATGGCGCTGCGGGCGGGCGGGAGAGAGCAGAGGAGAGCCGTGAGAGCCGACTCGCGAGCTCAGCGTCCGGTGGGGTCGCCCGCGAAACCGTCAGGCGCGCGGGGTAGGCTCCGCGCTGCGGGGATAGCCTGGGTCCGGGCCCCCGCGGAGCAGCCGGGGCAGAGGAGGCACGGTCCCCGCGCGTGCGGCGGCGCCTCAGCTGCTCCCAGCCGACGCCACCTTCCACGCCTCTCGGCAGAGGGCAGTTGGCGTGCGGCGCCGGCTACGCCAGGGAGAGCGCGCCGGCGGCCGGGGCAGCGGTGGGCTCGCACTTCGGGGAGGTGTCGCCCTCTCAACTGCTCGGCTCCTAGAATCTCTAGCCCTTGCACCCTCTCTTTTCGGGCCCGTGGGACTCTATTTACGATCCTTGCAAGTTTGAAATCCAACCAGAAAATTCAGAAAGTCTGCAAAGGTCCTCCCTCCCCGCCCCTCTTAGTTTTCGCCAGGCTGCTGCTCTGGGGCACCCCTACCCCCCGAGGAGCGCGCCCATCCCTCCGCCGCTTCTTTGGCTCTCCGCTGGTCCCTCGGACCTTTAACTGGAGATCGGGAGCTGAAGCAACCGAGTTCCCATTCCGGCTGTGGGATTCCGAGCCAGGAACAACCGGCAAATCGGGAGGCGACGCGGAGCAGGTGGAAAGTTGTCCCTTTGTAACAGGCGACCTCGCGGCGCAGGGTTCGGCGCCCCCGGAGCTCTCTCGGGCGCCCCGGTAACGCTGAGCCCGGGGATCCCTGCCTCTGCCCAGGAGTGGCAACAAATGACTCACCATCAGGGTCTTCATTTTGGGCACCTCTTTTGTGCGGAATCCTCAGGCACACGCGTCCGGGGTCACTTTTTCTTGGAAGGTTTCCATGGTGGGTGATGGGGAGCGGGCGGCTTTGATTATTGCCCGTCGGCCAGCCGCGGCCGAGTGGGCACGGGAACCTCGGGACGCAGGAAGCACCGCTGTTGCGGAGAGACGAGACAGAATTAAAACTGAACCGGACCCTCGTAGTCTCTCAGCGACCTACACTACTGCTGCCTGCCGCCGCCTGCTGGGTCCTAAAGACCTCTACATCCCCCTCTCTAGCCCCCAAATAATCGTCTTTTCAGCCTCGGAATTTCTGGGGCCAGTGAGTTAACCGTGCCAGGATACCTACCTCTTGGCCCGAGGGTTTATTCATCTTCTATGAAGTTATCAAGCAAAAAGGAAGGAGAACTTAACTGGATTCTGAACTTCCTAACCATTTGAAAAATAGCAAACTAAATTTTCTGTTTCGTAATTTTGGTCAAAACAAGTCAGTCTCCCAAATGTCAATAGCCTTATTGATAGCTTTTGCATTTATGTTAGTAGCACAGGAAAATTTGCCAAGAAATGATTTTCCAAAATATTCTTTACTGTTACAGTTTTCCAACTGTAAGCTTTCTAGGATTCTCTTCCCTCTTAATTTTACTTCTCAAATTAAGTTATTCTCATGCAATCTTTATAGCATAATTTTCATATAAGTTTTCATTACTTGTTTTAAATATTACAATTTATATTTCTACCAGAACTTTGGGGTTCTTAGTGTTCATCTAATGATTTTAATGTGTCAAAAAACTTTCAGCACATCATAGCCACATGATTACCTGGACCTGTAGATTCTTCCTGAATTTAATGAAAGATTTCTGGCTACTCGAGATAAAACTGCTTCCTGCTGATTCCTAAGGCCTTTGGTCTCTCCTTGTGTTGGCCTACTGCCCTGATAGTACATAATTTTACATCAAAACTTTGATTGCATTTTAAAATTATTCTTTTATGTGGGGAAATTCACATCAATAGCCTGTTTTAAGGATACTCTTCCCCTGTGCTGCATTACAAATAGTACTTGTTAAATGTCTGATTTAGTTAAAAACATACTGCTTCTGAAATTGCTCAGTGAGAATAGTTGTCTTAATGTATTACTTAACACCTCACCTGTAGTATTGTTAAAGATTACATTTAGATGGAAATGATCAGCAGGTTAACTCAACCATACACACAATAAGAACCTTCTCAAGGCCAAAAAAGGCATTACAACCCTTTTTTAATCTTTCACTAATCCATTGCTGGACTGATGATACAACAGGAACTATTTTTAATTTATGGGGCATCCTTCCGTACTTAGTATTAAGAAAGTTAACGTTATTGGTGCAACAATGACTATGCCATGTGTTTGGGAGAAGGCAAGACACACATGGGATTTAGCCTTTCAAGTAAAAACAAAAAATTCAAAACACAGTCCAACATTGCCAGCCTTGAAGCTATTTATTCAATTTGTGCTTTAGGCATGAATAGTACCAGTTGTTAGGGCTGGAAAAGCAGCAGCCAGAAGAGAATCTTATCGGGTCTTGGCAATTCTTTATTGTACAGTTGCACTTGACACTCAAATTAGGGAAACAAAGGACCAACTTGATGAATCCTTGCAAGCAGATTATCTGTGTTTCTGCAGGGCTCCTTTTGAGATGCCACTAGAAGCAGCTTCTGCATTTTTCAGGATTATTCCCCTTCCATCTCTCAAATTGCCCTGTGACTGAAAAAACACTTCTAATATATTTTGCCATGGCAAACACAGCCATCATATTTATGATTTAAGCTCATGGCAGCACGTTGAACATCTGTTACATGATATGTCTGACCAAATTCATTCAGCTTATGCTTTTTTTTCCCCCTCCTGGGATGGTAGTTAGCTAGTTGCTAAATAGAAGTGGCCAGAATAAATTTAAGAATGTAATCCTGAACTTGATTTGAATAATTTCAAAGTCTCTGGCTTTTAAGTATTTGATTAGAGTGATATGATGGTTTTAGGTGCTTGAGCCCAATGGTCACGATGCGCTGAGGGAGGGATCAGAGAAAACAAGTAACAAGTTCACATCCTTGTGCTGTTCAGTTCAGTGATTATTTAATGAGCTCAGGACCTAGTGTGTTTGTGTGTATGTGCACCATGTAAAGTCTGTGACACAAGTCTGCGACACAAGTCTGCAAGTAGATAATATAAGATGGAGTATAAGAGATTCAATATATATTTATCAAATACCTACCACATTAAGCCCTTTTCTGGTGAGCACTTATTATGTATAAGGCATGGGAAATACCTGGACGATAGGTCACTTGCTGCCCTGAAGGAATTTAGTCTGTTCCCAGATAGTGGTATGAAACTTTATGTTACAGAGAACTAGTAAACCATCAAAATACTTGACTTGTTTTTCAACTTCTGAGCATTTGGTTATTTAAGATATGAGGGGTTTGATATTTTAAGGGTATTCATATCACTTTATGCACACATTCAAATTAATAATCTGAATAGCGAGATAGAGCAGAAAATTGGCAACATTTGCAGACACTGGATTGACTCGGACACAAGTAGGCAAGTCAATACAGCTTTTTTAGTTCACCTAACTTGTCCAGTTCAATACAAAGTGAGTTCAGGAATCACAACTTGCTTCTCAAAATCCAGGTTAGCTGAGATGGATTTCTCACCATTTAAAATTTCGCCACATTTCTGCCTCTGGTGTCATCACATCCAATCAAATAGGTTTCTGCTTTCGAAAAAAATAAAGGAAAGGAAAGAAAAAGAAATTGAGTGTTCCACAATGTAGGTTATGTGACAACCTGAAAGCAAGAATTTATGAAACAAGGCCTGTCAGGAGGTGAGGAGGAAGGAGGTGGAATCTGAAGCTCAGAGGGAATGCCATCCTGTGCACGTGTCCACAGAAGTGCAGAAAGCTACCGGGAGAGGCAGAGAAACAAATGGAAATACATGAGCCCTGCCTGTGATACCTCAGTGGACTCTCAGTTTAGAAACTAGTACCTCAAACATTTCAAAGATGGAAGAAAGCAGAAAGCAACATAATATAAACTGTATCTGAAATAGAATTGCTTAAAATTTACTTGAAATAAATTTGACAAAAATGCTTTCCATCTTATAATCTTAAAGAGAAAAGTTCTGCTAAATGCTACAAAAGCAAAATGCTTGATAATGGCAGAAGGTCTTAGAACAAATGTGCTTTTTGTCCATTTGTGTTCTGTAGTTTACTTAACTCTCCACTTTCCAGGCTGTGCCTAGTGGGCTTTTGGTTGAGAACAGGACCCTGGAGTCAGGCTACCGGGACCCAGATTCTGACTTTACTACTTACCAGATCTGTGACCTTGGGTCTGTTACTTAACTGCACCTCGGTTTCCTTATCTGTAAAATAGCAATCATAAGAACACCTACTTCAAAGCATTGTTGTGAAGGCTAAATGAGATACTACAAGTGAAGTGTCAAGAGGAGTACTAACAGATTAACTATTATTAAGAATATTTTATGATTAATAAACTGAATTTGAAGGCAGAAGACCAGGATTTGACCTGTGTGACGAGCAGCTGCATGACCGTAAGCAAGGGCCTTAAAATATTAAGCAGACCTTTAATTTACTTGTAAAATGGATATGACAAAACCTGTTCCTCAAATTGTTAGAGGGCTTATTAAGATATTGTGTATTTGGCTATTTTGTAAATGTGAAGCTCTACATAAACTAAGATAATTGTAACACATTCATTCATCCAACAAATATCAGCTGAGCATCTACTCTGTGCCAGTCATTTTCTAGGCGGTGGGGATGTGACCGAGACACTGCCCCATGAGGCATATATTTAAGCTGGGGCAATAAACCAATATAAGAGAGCACTAGGCACTGGGAACCTAAAGCAGGGTAAGGCAGTTAGTGATTGGGCTATATATGCTGTTTTAGCTGGGATGGTGATATTTGACCAGAGATTTGAATAAAGTAAGAGAGTGAACCATGAGGCTATCTGGAGGAAGGGCATTCCAAGCAAAGGGAACAGAATATGCAAAGGCCATGAGGCAAAGATTTGTTGAGAGACAACAAGGAGGTCTGTGTGGCTGGAGTGGAGGGAGTGAGAGGGAGAGTGTTAGGGAAGAAGGGCAGAGAGGTAGTCCAGGGCCAAATCATGGAGGGCCTCATAGGCCAGGGAAAGGACAGTGTGAAGGAAACCCCTTGGAGGGTTTAAAGCAGCAGAAAGCTTTCAACCTTTCATTTTTCTGAAAGAGCACCTGGCTGCTGTGCTGAGAATAGCTTTGGCGGAACAAGAGTGGAAGCAGAGAGACCACTTAGGAAGCTATTGTTTCAGTCTCAGAAGAGGGAGGTTACAGTGCTTTTAGGAGAAGTGACTGGTTTCAGGATTTGCTTATGATTAGGTATGAGACATGAGAAAAAGAGAGGAGGCCAGTAAATGCAAGGCTTTTGGACTGTGTAGCTGGAAGAATGGAATTGTTATTTCAGAGATGAGGAACTCTGTGGGAAAAGCAGGCTGGGGGTTTTGAGAATGGAGAATTGGGATTTAGATGATGCACCCAGTATGAAATGTCACAGGTGGTTGGAGCTCAGGCTTAATGTTAGGCTTAGAGACCTGAACTGGGTGTTTCAGTTCACCCAGGAATGATCCAAGACACTGAAGAACAGAGGTCACGGGCCTGAGCCCTGGGAGCTCCAAATTTCGGATTCCAAGAATAGAAGGCATCATTATAATAATTGTAATGCTGAAAAACAATAAATAACTATCCAAACTTGATGTGATTTAGGTGGCTGATTATTTTAATTTTGAATGGATTTTCTATACCAAGGCAGTTAGTCATTTATGTCCTTTTCAAAGTACTTTTCAAATTCTATTATTGTACCAAGCATATTCATTCATGTATTTATTGTTCATCCGTCCTTCTAGATCATAAATTTTCCAGAACTGGAACTATGCCCTACTACTGTTTATATCCTACAAGACTGGCACATAATGGAGGGTAATAATATTAATCACTAACATTTATCTAGCCCTTTCTATGAGCCAGCCCTAATCTAAGAGTTTTATATCTATTAGCTCCTTTAGTTCCCACAACAGTCCTGTGAGGTAGGTAGCATTTCTATCTTCATTTCATAAATGAGTGAACTGAGGCACTGAGTCATTTGTTCAAAGTCACCCAGACAGTGAGTGGTAGTCTAGGGCCAAAGAAATATTTGTTACAAGAAATAAATATTTGTTAAAGAATGAATGAATAGAAGCTCTGTGAGAGTCCCCATTACAAAGTTCTTCTTTGAAACTGTTCTAAATTGGCCTGATTTATAAGAATATCATTGACACCCAATGTTGGGATCATATAGCCAAAGGTTATATTATTTATTCTTATATTGTGATATATTTTTCTGCTACTTATATATTTTCAAGCTGTATTTTACATATAGTAATATGTACAAAATTTAAGTGTGCACTTTGATGAGTTTTGACAAAATTTTACACTTGTTAACCACTACCACCATCAAGCTGCAGATAATTTCTATCATTCCAGAGAATACCTCATGCTTCCTTTCAGTCTTACTAATCCCAGCCAATATAAGCAAACAGACATTGTTCTGATTTTTATCAGTATTGATTAGCTCTGCTTATTCTAGGACTTCATAAGGATAATACAGTATATTCCTTTTAGTCTGACTTCTTTCACTTAGCATAATTTTGAGGCTTATCTATGTTGAGTGTATTAATAGTTTGCTCCTTTTTATTGCTGAATACTTTTCCATTGTATAAAAAGGCACTACTATTCTTATCCATTCTCCTGTTAATGAACATTTGGGTTGTTTTCAGTTTTATCTTATGAATAAAGTAACTAAGAACATCCTTGTCTTTTTGTAGGCCTGTGATTTCATTTCTCTGGCATGAATACCTAGGAGTGGAATGGTTGGGTCATGTGATAGGTGTATGGTTAACTTCAGAAGGAATTGTCAAGCAGTGCTCCTAATGTGGCTGTACCATCTTTTATTCAGGAATGAATGAGAGCTGCAGTTGTTCCACATCTTTGCCAGCACTTGGTGTGGCCAGTCCTTTTAATGTCTCTTTGCTTTTGTACAGTTTTCAGGATAAAGCTGGAAATCCTTGCTTAGCACCCAGGATCCTTCTTGACTATGTGTCTACCCTTCTCTTTTAATCTCATCTCTTGCCTGTCTACACAGAAATGCATTGAGCTAGCTGTAAAAACTGTTCTTTGAATGTGTAATAGTTGTGGTCCAGCCACTGAGCCTTTCAACAAGCCCCTCTGCCCCCTACTCTTTCTTCACACCTCAGCTTGTGCACCGCCCACCAGCATCCCTGACTTTCTGAACCTGCACTTGGACGATGAGGTTCCAGAGCTCTGTTGAAAGCCCAGGCCTGGAATCACACGGACCAGATTTGGCCTGGCCTCTGACGTTTAACTCTCCTGTGACCAAGAGCAAGCCGCTCATTGCTCTTCTGTGTTCTCATTCCCAGTTTTTCTCACAGTAAGCCTTTCCAGCAGAGTGCTTGTGTACACAAAATATACTAGTCTATGTAAAGTGTTCGGCACCATGTTGATTATGCAGATGAATCAAACAAAAGGTTATGTTTTTCACAAGGGACTGCCTGTATGGCATAAAGGGAGGCCATTCATCCTCATATTTATTGAGCTTATAATAAAAATATTATTTAAGATGTATTGTGTGCTTGTAGTCAGGCATTATGCTAATTTATAGGCTGTGGCTTATTTAATCTGTAATGATGTCATCCCATTTTACCAACAAGGAAACTGAGATGTAGAAATGTGAGGTCATTTGCCCAAGGTCACATGGCTAGAAAGTGACAGAACCAAGGTTGGACTGCAGTCCTTCCCTCACCATCTCCACCTTCTACACTCTGCTGCTTTCTAAATGCTCTGACTCTAGGCTAAGCCCTCCACAAGATGTAAAGTGAAGTAAGACACAGCCCTCACTGCAGAGGAAAAACCCTGAGCAGGTAATTATAACAACGTGCTAAGTGTAAAAATTGAGTCATAAATGGAGACTTAGAAGGGGCACAGAAGAGGGACATATGGCTATGAGAGGAGAATGGTTTGGATATGATTCCTGGAAAAGGGGAAATGCTCAGT